GTTGCTTGAGTCGACTTTTATAGTCGTCATGATTAGCTGGCGATATAGTTTCGGAAAATTCAGTGTATCCCACAATTATGTAACAAATAAATATATAGACATCTCTGAAGAGAGTATTCAAAATCCATTTCATTACTGAATATGATTTGATCGTGGTTCAGTACAAAAAGCAAATTTTGAGAACATTACTTAAGCATAAAAGCGCTTGAGATGGGTAACATGCCAAGATCGCGGCAGTTGTCGTCCTTCCATATCTTCAAGTTCATATGCGCCTCTCTCGAGCACCTTGGTGACTGTGTATGGTCCTTCCCAGTTGGCTTCAAGCTTCCCGACGTGTTTTAGAGCATCTGCTCGTTTGAGGACGAGATCTCCAACCTGAAATCGTCTGGTACGGACTTTCCTATCGAAGGCTGCTCGCATCTTTTGCTTATATTCCATGGATTGCACCCAGGCCTCCTCTCGTCCTTCTTCTATCATGTCGAGGGCCTCTTCGACCATCCCTTCGTTCTTCCTTTCCTCATAAAATGTCGATCGGTGCGAATTTAAGCCAACTTCGATAGGCAGGAGTGCATCCATTCCGTAAACCATGTGAAATGGCGACTGACCTGTCGAGCTTCTCGGAGTCGTCCTATAAGCCCATAGGACTGTTGTCAGCTCGTCGACCCAAGAACCTGATGCTTTCTCCAATCACTTCTTCAATCCTTGGAGAATTGTTCGATTAGTCACTTCGACCTGTCCGTTAGCCTGGGGGTGTGCGACCGAGGCGAACCTTTGCTTTATTCCCATGTCAAGACACCACTCTTGAATTCGTTTCCCCTGGAACTGAGTTCCATTGTCAGAAATTAGCACCTTCGGGACTCCGAATCGGCAACAGATATTGTTAAACAGGAATTGGATCATCTTTTCCTCCGTAATTTTTGCCAATGATTCCGCTTCGACCCACTTGGTAAAATAGTCTACAGCGACTACTAGAAACTTCTTCTGCCCCGTCCCCATCGGTAGTGGTCCTACCAAATCGATTCCCCATTGCGCGAAGGGGATCGGGGTGCTTATGGTCGTCATGTACTCGGCGGGGATGTGCGTGATTTGCACATGTCG